GGGGGGGGGGGGGGGGGAGAAGATCCGTTTCCGGCGTGTGGTCCAGCACGCGTGTACTCGTTCCCGCGAGACGTTCTTCTTGTCTCTTCAGTTTCTGTTCTTCTTCTTCTTCTTTCTTCTGTTTTTGTTTCTGTCTTTTTTGTGCCCTCCCCCTTTAAAGCCTGGACTATTTGCAACGAGCGATCTCACGTCTATTTAAGCATAAGTTTTACCGAGTTTAGCGTGGTATTGCTGTATAGCGGCGAGTGAACGCGAAGAATTTATAAATATGTAATGCCTTAATGTTATATAACGATAATAATACGGATATAGCGTTACTTGTATAATTAGTTGCGATCCGAGAGAGGTGGTCGAACGCGCGCGACTGAGAAAGACGATTGGGGTGGAAAGAAGGAAAATTCACGACGCGCGAAAAGCGCGTTTGCGTTGGCCGCGTAAACGTTGACGGAAAGAGAGAGCAAACTTACGGGAAAAAGAGAGTCGAACAAAATATATGTAACAAGACGACGCAAAAAACATATGCATACACACACATATACGGTGACGAAAAACAAAAACAAATTAATGGGAAGTGTAGTACGCGCGGCCGTTTGTCTCCATTCTGTTCGTGATTTGATATTTTTTTATAATTCCGACGACGACAAGAGAGAACGATTGGAGAGTAAGAGAGAAAGAAAGAAAGAGAGAGAGAGAGCGAGAGAGAAAGGGATAGTATAAATGGAGCGTGTATAGAGCGGACTGCTATCTAAAATAGTTCAGGCTAGATGTCGATGTTTGTAGCGGATAAACAACAAAAAAACACAACACAGCATATTGTACTTAAAATTAAAAGTCATTAATACCGCCCGCATTTATCTTTCGTCCTCGACGCAATCTTCCAGCTTGGAAATCTACAAATTACCTGAACACGTGAGTTTTATATCAACTGTTTCTTTAGAGATTATTTTAAAATTCAATTAAAAAAAACATTCGTGTTCCTCGAACTTTTGTTTCTCTGTTCTTTTTCTTTCTTAATTTCTTTTTCATTCTTTTTCGGTTCTTCTCGGAGAGATCGATTCCTCGCAGTCCCTGTAAAGCACGTTGCAATCCTCGTCGCGAATTCCGGCTTCGCCGGCGTCCCGCACCAGACGGTCCCAACCGGAAGTCGATTTCAAAGATTTACCCACGCTACGCCTGAAACGATAAAAACGGGGACTGGACGCTTCCGCTGACAAACTTCGTCGTGTACCGAACTTCGTGAAAATTGTGTTTCTTAGATTTTTATCCGAATGGGAGGGTAGTAACGGTAAAAAATGGTAACTCACGTCAAGTGCTTGGCGAGTATCTTGCCAACGGTACCGAACGCTGTCGCGAGCTTTCGATTCTCCAGGCAGACCGTTCTCTGTATGCAACGCACTCTAGCATCGTCGTTAAGAACGTCTTCCTGTTCCGGGCTCTGAAAGCAAGAAAGCCATACACGGTTCAATACCTTCGGATAACAGGGGAAAAAAGGAGTGTTCATTCGTAGTCTTCGGTAATTTCCATTGAAAACCGTTAAAAATTTTTTTTGGCACCCATGATGTTGTAAACGGAAATATAACGATGGTTTCGAATACCAGAGAATGTTCTAGAAAAGTCACGAATGTTTTCGCACCACGGAATTAATATCGTAGGCAGCGTAGATGTCTCTCTTCTCTCTGGCCGATAAAACGTCCGTCAGCACGTCCCTTCGTTTTACAGCGGCGATCGTGTTCTGTATGATCGCGAACAGCAACAGTAAACCGATGAAACTGACGATCATTAGCTGTTTCGACGACGGTCCGACCGGATAATCGATGGAATGAGCGACTGGATACGGGTAATTCGGATGTTCGTACACGTAGGGCAGATCGCTTCGATGACTGACGAACGTTCTTTGGGGAGCTGAAACGTACGATACCGGTGAGATTTACCACAAATCCTGACATAAATACTTCTTGGGGGATAATCGGACGAAACGGAACGAAGAGAACGATTACCGGCTAGATAGTTGATCGGAGATGCAGGCAGCGGCCGCGCGAACGGTTCCGGGAGATGTGTCATATCCGGTCGAAGAACGGTTTCGAATCTACCCGGTGATTCAGGAACAGTGCCATTTCCGCTAGACGGAAACACCATGATTTTTGCATCCTGACCGGTAGTCAGAACTGGAAACACTATGACGAGTAAGGCCTTCGTTGTTAAAAGGACGAACATTATCGATTCACTTGTAATTTTATACAAAATCACCCAACTTGTACTTTTCACCTTGATTTATTATTTTTTTTTTTTTTTTTTTTTTTTTTTTTTTAGTAGCAGACTGAAGGTTCGAGTTGGCCACGGTGGATCTTTAAGAAGGTCGAAGGAAAAAGCTTCTTTCGTGACGTCGTCAATTCGATCCGGACGAGCTCGCCGCAAAAGTACCGGCAATTTCCGAAATTACGGCCATCATTCGGCTCGCTGAGCCATCGCGCGGTGAATATGTCCCGTTCTGTTCTCTAAACCGCGCCTGTTCGGCTCTCTAATGGACGTCGAGCGAGATCGACGCAACCGTGAACGGATCTGTCTGCTCTTCGGGATCTCGAAGCGGTGATTTCACGGGGCAAGGAACACATCGTGTACGATCGCTGTTCCGCTAGTGACTTTCTCCTCGAGAGAGAAGCTCCGTGAAAAGGGAAAAAGAAATCGCGCTTCTCAAACATTTAGACTACTTTCGGAAAAATATATTCTCTGCTCTAAAACGCGAATTCCCAACGTATTCTAACGTAGGCAAGATCGAATTACCAAAACGTTCACCTATATGTATAGAAAACGTCGGTAAACTTTCCATTGTTCTGAATTTTCGGTTACACAAACGCACGAAATCCGTAGTTAGACTGTCACATTAGGGCGATACAGTTTCTCGTTGGAGTGGTGCAAGGGTTGGTATTTTAAGATCAACGTACAGATCGATCCGCCCCACGTATGTCCATACTCGCCGGTGCCATGGCAAGCACAACGCAAAGACCAATTCCACCCCCCTTTCCTATCGTATGTACGAGGAACAAAGGGTTGCCTGATTCGCAGCGCGTAAAAAAAAGGGAAAAGTGTGTTTGATGTAAATGTTCGAACAACGGACGGACGGGGAAAGCGGTCGCGGACGGGGGTGGGTGGGCAAATCGGTTGGTTAGGCCGGCTGCTGAATCCAAGGGGTTGCTATGGCGATGGGACGGTGGCCACCGCGTAACGAGAAGGGGCGGAGGGCTGTTGCCTGGAGGGTTCGTCTGTCTGGAGCCCTTCTAAAGGGGATGGTGTTCTTCGACCATGTCTGTCTGGCAGCAGCAGCGGGTTCGTTTTGCCGCGAGTCAGCTGTTTCGTCGTGGCTCGATTTCCTCGCGTGCTTTTACTAGGCCGGATTATAACCCGTTGCTTTACTGTCTCCTCCGTAGGATCGTTAGCCCTCTCTCCTCGAATCCATTTATTTCTGGTAAACTCGGCCAACAGAGTTCTCTTCTCTCATAATACCAAGTCCAGAATACTTTGGTTGACCTTTGGATTAAGAAAAGAAAAAAACTTCATGAACATCGTGGCGGTTGGTTAAAATAAAGTTCGAAAACTCCCCTGGCAGCCCTGAAACAATTCAGTCCAATGTATGCGACGTCTCGTTCGGAAAAGTATTGCATTCCCGTTGGATTAATGGGAAAGTATACACCTCAGGGACGACTCGACGGAACTTTCAAGGAGCAATACCAATCTTTTCTAACTTTCCTGCATTGCTGTTCCCAGTGCATACCCCGGGAACCCCCACCATCGATCCCAACGCTCGCGACATTCGTCTGACCAAATGCTTTCTCGATCTACTTAATTGACCTTATTAGTATCCCCGTCTCCTCGAGGTTTAGATCTAACGAGGCTCTACATATATCGCGTTCGTCGGAAACAGTAACGAACCCTTAAATACACTAATAATTTCCCGAACGGGTCTTCTACCCTAGATCCGACGCGTTTCCCCTTAAAGTAACGGAGCGTGCGGACATCCTTGGGGCCCGTGCTTCTTTTAAACCCGCTCGGAAAATGGAACGTCTATGTACCCCGGGATTATAAATAGCTGCTTTGCGTTACATTTTTTTTATACATTGCGCAGAGATAGACTAGGTATCGCTTTATGTATCTCGAGGAAAACGAACGAGATCATTCGCGATCGTTCGGGAAACAGTGTTCGACGCGAGGTTCCTAATAATGTCTATTCACAAGTAATTTCCATTTTTTTATTTCAATCGACACGTGACACAAGTATACATGGCAAACTCAATTCTCGTATCTCGCCTTCGGAAGCTATTAACACAACGCTCGTCTTCGGGTCGGAAACGGGTGTCCTTCGGCACGTATTGTAAGTCGGATCTTTTTCGACGGAAAGCAGACCGTTTGGCGTCGTGAGGACCATCGAGATGACTCTCCTCGCGGCCGTTGCCAGTTTATCGCGAACAATAAAACTCTGCCTTGTTGTTTTTTCGTCTTTCTTTTCTTTTTTTCCAGAGGCAGCCACGTATCGGGGTCACATCGATAGAGACACGCCGCGTGAACGAGCAGCAGCAGCAGCAGCAGCGCGCGCGTTTTCACGCCAGCTTCGACGCGATCGAGGATTATATTTTTAACCGCGCGGGGAACTTTGTACAGCGACGGGACGGCTTATGGGACGGACACCTTGTTCGTCGACTCTCTTTTTATCACGGTTCAATCGGAACGACCCGACGCGCAGCACCGCAATCAGAGCTTCGTTAGTTGTCCTTTATGCGAGGGCTCGACGTCGACGCCGCGCGACCGCGTTGGCTTCGATTACACAACCGAAAATAGCTTTCGGGCGGCGTTCTTTCACCCGCGTGGGTAATTCTATTCCGTTTCATTTATTTACTCTCGTGATATAGGTCAGGGTGCGCTCACTCGCGCACGTTCGATGTGTCGCGATTGTGTTGCGCGACATTTGAAAATAAATCGAAAGGAACCGTGAGCGAAAGGGCAGTGAGACGATACGTCACAGGTATACCCGAGGCATACAGGGTGATCGGTAACTGGTGGTAAAACTAGAAAGGAGGTGATTCTACGTAAAAGAAATTAGTCGAAAATCGAAAAATTAAACTGAAACGCGTGTATTAATGGACAACTCGTGTTTGGGCGTGTTTCGGCTGAATCCGGTCGTGCATTGGAATCGTCCCGCTTGTTTAAACGCGACAAACGCAAGAAACACCCGTGTGTTTTTAGCGGAAATCCTGGATTCGATGTGTACGCCGCTTAATTAATTGGAGGGTTCTTCGTATCTTGTTGTCTGACCCGTGGCGGGCTTTACTACTTGCTGGCACGCGACCAGCTCTCCTGTTCCGTCCTCGAACGATGATCGCCGTCGAATATTTTCTTGCGACGGATTAAAGGATCGTGTCACGGGCACTTACTTCACGTCGTAATTCCGTTCGAAAGACCTACAATTACAAGGGAATTAAAAAGTCGAGTAAAACGAATTCAATCGGGGTCCAAACTAAACGAACACTCGGAATTCAGTTCGAGAAGAAGCGGGATTTTCTAGTTCCATCTGATCTTTCAGCACGTTGTCTGGCAATTACGAGATAACTCGAAGGTGAAACTTTGCAATGATATAATTTCAAACAAAACAAAAAGTCTCTACCAACTGAATACATTAATATTTTACGATATATCACTTAAAAGAACGAAATAAATTGTGTCTGGCTATGTACGGGCTTTTTCACTGTTGCAATCAACGCGTTATTCCCGCTGTACTAATTATACGATCGATTTCGATTCACGACAGGATAAGTCTCGTTCATAAATCTTCGGAACTTGTCGAACGTGCCAACCGATCGTCGCGACACGTCTCGAGCTCCCTGTTCGTTTCCCGGAGGCTATAAACGCGTCCCATTCGTGTATTAATGGAATACATGTATCCAGATAACCGTCGTAGCGGATCCATTCGGGTCAGGCAGCCTGGGAGAATCCTTTAAAGCCGAACGATCCCTGCGATTCCATCTTCGTGGCGACCTGTTTGCCTTACTCTCGAATCGTCTTCGGTCGGATTTTTCTATTTCTCGAGCATCGACGTGCAAGATCAATTCAACCTGTTTGAATGCCACCGTCGCCACACCGTAAATATTTAACGGTGGAAACTTTTCTGTCCGTAGATTCTTACGTGATTTTGGTCGTAACACTTTCACGACATCGGAGTACGCCATTGGAATGGCGTCGACTTCGAACGTGTTGGATTGAAACCAACCATTGTTTTTGAACCTCTGACGATCTCCAAATCGTGTTCAATCCAATTCCATGTTGTAAAGAATCGCGCGGTAGACGGGGTTTCCTGTCGCGTAGGGCTCGACGATTTTTCATTTCACTTCCTCGCTGCAGCAACGGTACCGACCCACAGACTCGTCGTTGGAACGTGTTTAATACGTGGAACGACGTACTTACTTTAATATACCGCGTCCTGGCACTCGGAACTTCCCGAGCACTTGCATGATGAGCGCGTGCTCATCCTGAATTAACGTGACGAGATGCTGCATCGCGACGCGACCGTTCCCCCGAGAACACGAGCATCTTTAAAAGCGTTAGCTTTTGATCCACCTGCCCTGTGCCCATTCACGTCCATAATTTTGAAGTGCAGTATGAAAAGGATATAACGTGACTTGCAGAATCCACTAAACGTATTACAAGAAAAAGATTCCTGTAAAAAGATTCTAAGCTTCTTGGAAGATATTGACACATATCACCAACCGTAGATACCTTCTGTCCCATTGAGTAATTCAACCCCGTGGTCACTAATAACCTAAAAAGGTGCATGTGATCTTAAACATTCACAAAAAAACTTGAAACCTTGTAACAGTTTTTTTTTGTTCGTGCCAAACAGAAAGGAAAGTGTATTTCAGTCAGATGCGTCGAGATGTTCCTCGTGCAAAATCCAGCGAAAGGTTGGCCGGGGGGAGGCAATCAGAGGACGCGCACCGGTGGTGCTGGTGAATAATTGATGGCGGATCTTTCAGGAGGAACGAAAATAGATTTCCGCGGGGGAGGAGCTTTGAAACGCGAAAAGAAATCAATACCACCACCAAGGGGGCATCTGTAGGTTCGGTCTTTTAATAAAGCTTCTCTCTCTTCCATCTCTGGCTGCCCTCTTATTCCCGTGGCGGTGGATGCATTCTTCGCGGTCAAGAACGAAACCTTTTCAATCGTTCGCCTCGATATGATCGATGGAAGGCTAAACATCGAGCACCCGACTCGATTCTGGAACGCGAAGACCACAGGATTATCTGTTCGTCGACGTTCGTTTCGAGAAAAGTACAAGATTAATTAGCGCGTTAATCGATCAGGGACTGTACAATCCCCGCTCCGTCGTTCGTGTTCTCTTTCTTTTTCCATCGCTCGATTCCCCTCTCGGGGCCGGTCAATTTGATCCGTATGTTTCTGCGTGGCGCCGTTAATTGCACCTTGTCGACGTTTTCGACCTTGTTTCGTCGATAATGCCCAGCCACGGTCGACCGATGCTGATCGAAACTGGCAGGGATTTAAATGCAATCGATTCGACGTTTTAACGCGCCCTAGGTTCGTATTTTAATATCGCGTGGGAGGAAACTCGATTGTTCGGTCGAGAACGTCGATCGCAGGTGTCGAATTGATTGGAATTTATTTTCGGTGGAATTATGGAAATCGTGTAATTTGATTGAAATCCGTAACTGGAAGTATATCCTCGATGAAAGTGGAAAATCGGAGTTTATCGCGAGTACGACGCATTAAATAAATACTTATACGCGAGATTAATCGTAGAGACAAAGTAACGACGATGTTATTACAATCAGAAGGGGATGCTCCAGGAAGATTAATCCATAGACACACCAATATCTATTATGACTGGCGTTACGTCATACGAAAGGGCTGTAGAGGGACGTTAGATAAGCAAGAGGTATAATAAGGTGCCTCTGCTTGGCAGGTATGTCGTGAATAGGAGGTGTCATGACCTTGCCCAACAACCTTCACTAAAATACGTAGCTGGAAAGAATGATGTATCGTAACATTGTCTCTTCCAGGACAATGAAAAATCTCAGTGTCGTGTGCACACATTTAGACGTCCCTTGGGGTATCACGTCTTCTCCACTGCCTGCCTACATTAAATTTCGGAAAATCCTTGAGCCACCAACGGTGTTTCAAACTGCGTCGTCCGGCTATTTTTTCCAAGCTCGCCTCGACGACAGACGATAATGATCGTCCCGGATCGATTGCTACTCTGTTGGTAGAGTTTGAACCTTTTTATCGACCGATTTTTTAAACTAACGTTGCGTTAACGCAACATTTAATTTGCAATATTTTTCAGTCAATTCACCGTATGAAATTTATTATTTAACCCTCAAGGACACGGACCCCGAATACGTAATTCCTTTTCTTCGCAATTTTAAACAGCAACAGCAAGCTTTTTGTTAACCTTGTAATCTAGTAATTGTCTAATTTTAGCGATAAATAATTCGGTTGACAGAAAAACATTTTCTAGTAACAACTATTTCGAGAAATAGAAGACTTCTTCGTACTAATGGAATACCTTATCCGTGTCCTTGAGGGTTAACAGTATTGTTACGAAAAGGAATTCCTGGGATTTGCTTAATAATTTTCTCGTTTCTATTTTTCTTTTATCGCCTAGGTATATAATCTCCTAAAGAATAAAAATACTTATATCTAAAAATCGTATCACTACAATATTGTCCTTGATGGGTTAACCTGTCCTCCTAAGAGTGCAGTCGCAAGTTCTCAAATATCGAACGTATACTTTTCCGTGCTTGTTCTCTCATACGATGGTAAGTCGTATTATGCTACCTACATCGGTCCGGGAACAGAAGTCCTCATTCAAGAAGCTGTGTGTACGCGTTCGTACTCCTTAACCCAACCGACCAGAATATTATTCCAATCGTTGATTCTTCCAACAGTGCCACCATTAACAAAGCAGCCAAATTAATTCTCCCGAACGTGTTTACGAAAGAGCGTAACCGCGAGTTCAGCCACCCCAAAGGCGATCGTAAACGAACACCGGAGGAGAGCGCGCCACGCAGAGGAATCGAGAGTCCCGTGACCCGAGCCATAAAATTCTGCGTTCGGCTGGAAACCGCATCACGTTCCCCTTCCCTATCACTCGAGGCCAGGTCTTCTTCTACGTCGAGGTAGAATCTCGACCTACGTTCAGGTGTTGCGGCCGCAACCGGCCGCTTCCGGCCAAACATTCGCAGACGATTCGTAAATCCCTGGTGGGAAGCACGGATCGAGAAGGAAGGGGTGGAACGGGCGACGCGACGCCGACAAGGAACGAGAAAGAGAAGTTTGGGCGTATGCGGCGTGTACTACCCCTCTTCGTTTAACCTTCGGAAGCCTCGTTTCACCCTTCTCTCTCCCTCTCTCTGTCTCGTTCTCCCTCTATCCACCCCCGTGAAATCGACGTTGCGCGTTTATCGAACGACTGCGCGCGCATTGATAACGGGGATGGGGCGTGCGATGTGTTGGTTGGTCGCAGAGGAAGCGGCGGTGGAACGAACGGTAAAGGGGAACCCGAACCACCGACGAGGAACAACGACGACGACGACGACGACGACGACGACGACGACGACGACGACGACGACGGCGACGAGGACACCGCGACACGTCGACGTCGACGAGGACGGGAGTCGACCAGACACGAATCGGAGCACCGCCGCGCGAGACGCGACCTGTGTGTTTGTCCGACTCACTCTCTGGCGAACGCTCGATTCTTCCCACCCCCCGTCGTGTTCGTTGTCAACACACAACTCTGACAGCCCGAGTGTGTGCGTGTGTTTGTGTCTGTGTATCGCGCAGGAACGTGTGTAACAGTTTCTCTCTGGAACGCGACCACTCTCTCGTGGGGGGCTGTGCTCGTCGAACGTACTTCGCGCGCGGAGAACGGAAAGCCGAGAGACGGAAACACCACCTGCACAACACACCGTCTTCAGTTGTATACGCGAGGAACGAGAAACGAGAAACGAGTCTCTTCTCTCGACAGGTGTACCAGTAATCGCGAATAGTAAACAGAGGCGAGTTTCCGATGCGTCGAGGGTGACGTTGCGCGAGAAACGATTGGTTCTACGTGGACAACGTCAGGTTGTTTAATTTGTTCGCGTTGATTCGACACCAGACTGCGAGAGAAGATCGAAATCCACGGATCTCGCCGAGGGATATATATGTATATACACACGTATATGTATATCAATCGTGAGTAGTGCTGCATTCAGGAGTGTTTTACGGGAGTGCATCGAAAGTGGTGCTGGTGCAGTCTTGGAAAGTCTGTAGTAAGGATCTGGTGGATAGGGGACGTGTAATAGGTGGAACAAGGATTCGGGGAAACATCTCGAAACAACCAGAGAGTAGTGTAGGCGTACAGGGGAGGAAGAGAATATCGTATCGCCCTGGTGGGATAAACCCCCGAGTATCCATCGCGAGTACCTGTATTTTTCGTTCAACTGGTTCGTCCTCCCTCCGTGAGGCGGAGGGCGGTAGAGAGGCATCGATCGCTCGCCATTTTGCAAGACGACCGACATCTTCTCCACGCATCGACGACATTTTCCCTCGTGACTACCAAAGGGGTGGCTCGCTGAACGTGATTTTCTCGCGGATCGCCCGAGGACAGTCTCGATCGGGGGGGAGGGGGGGGCTGGTGCGTGTGTGTCTGTGTCTGTGCGTGTCTATGTGCACGCGTATGGACCGTATTTTTCGGTGAATTTCGTAACATCGTTCATCGATCAAGGCCAGCCGTTATATACGCGCGACGGTTTCTCATCGAGGCATAGCCTCGGTGCGGATTCGGTTCGAAGACCGTATAGAACAAAGAGGAACAAGAGAAAGAACAAGAGGAAGGGTCGCGGGAGGAGCAGGTAAAGAAGGAGGTAAGGCTCGTCCAGGTCGAAGGTAGAAGTCAGCAGGCTGGGAGGTCGGCTGAGCGAGGTGGTGGGTCCCGTCGTGGAGGAGGCCATCGAGCCAGGGGATGCGACCCCGCTGACGGGACCCTCGAGGGAGTCCTCGGTACCTCGACTACCCCCGCCGCCCCCGCAACGCGTCACCACACCGAGTCCACCAAGACCTCCGCCCATCACGTCCCAGCAAACACAACGGAATCCGGGTCATCAGACCCAGGAGTCGACGTCGAACGCGTCGAATCCGTTGGGTGGCCATCAGGCCCAGAAACCCGTCGCCCAACAGTCGCAGAACCCGGGCCATCAACAGAATCCAGGGAATCAACAGAATCCTGAGCATCAGGCCCCGAATCCTGGACCGCAAAGTTCGAACCCGGGACATCAGACGCAGAATCCCGGCCATCAGACCCAGAATCCTGATCAACAGTCGACGAATACGGGCCACCAGGCCCAGAATCCTGGGCAGCCGGCTCAAGGTGTGAGTCGCTCGTCCCAGAATCCCACGCATCAAGCGACACAGACGCAGCAACAACCCTCGTCGCAGCAGCAGCAGCAGCAACAACAACAATCACAACAATCACAACAATCGCAACAACAGGAACACCGTACCAGCAGCATGGGTACGGTACTGTCGTTCAGTCCGCGTGACAGACGGGGTTCCGTGTACCCGCCAGCGGGGCACCAGCATCCCGCGGATTTTACCCTGAACAATTTCAATTACGAGCAGCTGAACAACGCGAAGAACCGTGAGAATAAAAGCGGCGTCGGCAACGGCGGCGGCGGCGTCGCCACGGTGGCGCCGGCGCCGCCCACGAGTCATCCGCCTACGAACAATAACTCGTTACAGAACAACAATATAAATCTAAACAACAACGACAACGCGAGAATCATCTCCGAGAAGAACGCGCTCGAGAAGAATCTGAAGAAGCACTCGTTGTTCATAAACGCGCTCTCGTGGAAACATTCGACAACAAGAACAAAAACACAGCGTTCAGGCAGCCGCTCGATAATATACCGATCGTCGACAAGAACAAGAACATACAAACGCCTCAGGTGAGTGACCTTGTTCCGTGTTCACAATTAATAGAAAATAGTTCACTTTTTTTGCGTTTCTTCGGAATGATTCGATACAGTTGTGTGAACCCATTCTTCCCTGAATATAAAATATTTTACCTGTTACGGTGTCTCATAGGTATCGTAATACATGTATCCCACTCGGGAAGAAAGGGTTGAATACTCGATAGATATACGACCGTAGTCGGAACCCCTGGGTTTGCAAATCTACGGGTTCGGTTTTGCTGTTCGAAAAACGGAACAAAGCTGAATTCATTGACACACATGCATATCGAATCGGTCCGTCAGCCCCCGCCGGGAAATCGTCTACTCGACGAATGCTACGGAGGTGGCCCATTTTCAGTCCGAGTGTGTCCGCCACGTAGCCCCGAGCACACAAGTTCTTTAGAAGTCTAGCGCGAGGAACACCGAAGGTGCTTTGACCCCGAGCACGATCGAAACCATATTATCGATCGTCTTGATGGTGGTTTCCCTTTGCGTTTTTTACAGGCACACACATACAAGCGCGCGCGCGCGCGCGTTACTTTCACCCTCGCCCCTAGGACTCTCGAGAAACCGAACGCGAACACACGTTCGGGTTCGGTTCACGAACTTGTCCATCGTACGATTCGTTCGAAAGTTCGTCGTTCAGCGCGAAAATATTTCCGCTGAACGAACGATTTATTTCTGTTCGTTCGTGAATTATCGTAGATCTATACGGCGTTAATGTTTGAACGTTGTCGTAACAGACGAAACCACCGGCGTCGAACAACAATCACACCGCGCACAACCCGACGTGCGAGAAGCTCGTGCAGAAGCCTTTGCCGCCCGGTCCAAGGAAAACTGTGATCCAAGCATCTACCTCGGAATTGCTCAAGTGCCTCGGCGTCTTCCTTCACAGGAAATGCACCCGTTTAAGAGACTTCCGTGTCAACGACGCCGTCATGTGGCTGAAAGCCGTCGACAGGAGCCTGCTGCTTCAGGGCTGGCAGGTGAGTTTACAGTAAATTCTCGATAAATGCTCGGAAAGATGTCTACGTTAAATGCTTCTGCCTCGTCCCCGCTATCTCCCGGTTCCGCACTATCGCGACTCGACCTGAAATTTATGAGGTGCAAAACCTGTGCTCCTCTACGATAACTGTTACAAAACAGCCTCGAGTTTCGAGCATTAATCGAAGATTCCTAGTAACAGGAAAAACCTTAGCAAGAACCTCGTTTGAATGACTTTCTTGTCTTCGTTGCAGTTAGCAATAGTACATCGATAAACGTTAACCAAATATTTTTGTCGAGGCCAAGGGTGGTTCGCAACACGTGCGTTATTTAAGTTTCGTAAAGCAGCTGATGCGGACTGGAACAGCACACGTTCAATAGCAAGCCCGGCTAATTAACGATAACGCGATAATTAATATTTATCCGGCACGAGTGTAGTCGTTATCCGATTAAAGCTTATCGCCCGTGTGCCGGGATAATTGGTTAATTAACGCGGATTTCCATTGTCGACGATCGATTCGCTGGGTGCCATTAGAATAATGCTGTAACCAACACCGCCAACCAACGAACAGCACCGGGATCCAAAAGTTCGCCAGACCGTTCTAATTCTGAAACGGTCCGACGTCGTTGGCCCGGAAGGAATACGCCTCGATCGTCGGCGTTCGTTTCTGAATCGATGCACATCGGTATCTGGAGTGGCGGGTAGAGAGAACCCACTTAGACGAAACGAGATCTGCACGCGTCAGACTCCCGAACACCAGCGTATATAGCACCCTCGACTTCCTTTACTATCGAACTCTTTCTCTCCCTTCGGTCGAGGAGCGTGCGGATACAGTACAGGTCAAAAGTTTGGGTCTCGCAGTTCGAGCTACCGATACATTGTATATTTACCACCTGAACCATAGAGAACAATTACGAGGTATCACGAAATTGTTACTTACGAGTGATGATGTATATTGAGAAATATTCGAATACCGATCCGAGCGAATCTGAAACGATCCGAAACTCTTGAACAGTAGTGTACGTATAGTCGAAGTGTTCACCCACGGGAATACGAGTCACGTAATGAGAGTCACCAAGGGCCAGTTAGTCGCAATATGTCACGGAGGGAATTAAGAGCCGGGAACTACATTTCGTGGACAAGTCAGCTTTCCATTTAGGCGAATCCATATTTCCATATAACAGTCGATATCGAACGATGAACCGTTAATGACGAACAAAGCCATGGATTCGCAACGACCAGGACGTGTGCTTCCCTATGAATTCGTTTCGATTTCACCGAGCGAATTTCGCGTTCATGCTAATACGCTTCACGGCGGGATTGCGGTTTATGCAAATTTTATTGTCCCTCCGCGGCAGGACACGATCGACCGACCCCACGAAGTTTCGTGATTCGCCTCTCGCCGATAAAAGGGCGCCAGGCCTACTCTGGACGTTGTTGTCTGACTTGTGGCTTACAAATCTCGTTGAAAAGAATTTGTGATTGTTCAGGATCTGAAAATCACCCCAAACATTAAGTATCTTTTGTTATTGGAATGTTCAGAGTATCTTTGTAAGTGGTAGGCGTAGCTCTTGGGCTTGATATAACAGGACCAAGTAATAGAAAAAGAAGGATATTCCGCCTGACCTTCTTTCTACTTCGTAGTTCTCTGGGAATCGTTGTCTATTGCTTTTCTTTCTTTCTTTTCTCTCTCTTTCTCTCGCCTTCTTCCAATATTCAGCGCCGTTTACGTCATCCGAAATACCCTTACGAGATACTGTGTAATCCGAAGAACGTACGAAAACTTTGGATCAAGATCAAAAGACCAAAGAAGACTCCGTGTCAGATCTGTACTGATTATAACAAGGGTGCCTTCAAAAATGATGTACAAGCGGGCATGAGGTGATTCCTCGTCTGTTCGTTGCATTCCGTTTCTACTTACGTCGAATACACGCGTTTCCGAATAATGTTCAAAGTCAATCTTCGCGAAAACGAAGTTTCAAATGAAACAATGTTATTCTCCACTTTCGACTTATTTCTACACGCAAAATCACCCCATGGCAGCTTCTACGTAACTTTCGGATGCATCGTGAATAAATCCGAATTCATCGGGAACCATCGTCGCCTCTCGAAACCAATCAGTAGTATACGACCGTACTGGGTCAGACGCGTTCCTTCACGTGCCTCGATTTCGTCCATTCGTGAAAACTCCGACAACAACCTCGACATCTACTAATTCAATGTTCCCGTTTTATGCCCCAGATTTATTCTCACCTTGAAGAACACGCAAATGCGAGTCACATATCGTGCGCGACGCTTCGCCTCCGAAGTCAGATTGTCGTAAACTTATCGACTTTGTTTCTACACCTCGGCAAAAACAGCAACGGTTTCTCGACTATTTCATACACCTATAGCAACACCGTCCATCGTCGTACATTCGAGAACATTTTTTTCCGTGATCGTCGGCGCCTGTTATCGCGATGAATGGTGGCAGTTCGCGGTGACTCCTTTGGCTGTGTGTCCCTTTTTTTTTTTCACTCGCTCGGCCACGAAGGTCATTATCGATTAACCGGTTTACGAGAGCCGCGTCGCGGTTGCTTTTCGCGGAAACACTACGTCGATCCCGCCCACGAAAATGATATTTACCCATTGCGAGGGAACGAGCCTATTTCCACGTGACGTCAGAGCGCCGTCGTAGGGACGGTTTGTCGACTATCACGTGAACCGTCGGGGTAATTTTGAACCGATTACGCGAACGATTTATCTCTGGATCGCTTTTATCGTTCGACTTCCACAGAATTGCTCGTCGTTTCTCTGAGCAATTGTCGTCAGTCGATCGTGGAATATATAATTCGGTTAAAAATTCCTGCACGATCCTTTTAATCAAGAAAGGTATAGACGAGTGCACAAAAAGTACAGTAAGCGATCGTTAAATTTATTATTCAACGCTGATAGAAATATTATTACATTAAGGACTCTAATCCGCAGATAGGGTGAATAAAGAACGATTTCCCACGTGGACAAACGGCCGAAAGGGATTTTCTTCATGCCCAGAAAATCAACTGCCAACGAGCCTAGGGCAATCCCTGGGCATAAATTCCCCTCGAATTTTTTAATTCCTTTATCGCCGTCGGTAGGAACGTCGGGGATGATGAAGGGGGATGAATCGAGGATCGAGAAGACGACAATCAGGAATAATAACATTGCGTTGGAGTCTTTGTTTTCGAGATAATCGAATTAGAAAATTAGTCCCGAAACGCGTGCATTCGTCCATAGTAATAAGTGGAAACGGAATGCACTGAACAGACGCGCTGGCCAAGTCCTATGCAAGTTGCACGTGTATCCATCAAATTTTTGTGTATCGATTATCTCGAGAACGAAACCACAAACGCAGTTTTATTACTCTAGATTTTCGTCTTATTTTCAGCCATACTATCTCCCTGGCCTCGTTTGTACCACTCATTTTCACCCATCCTGCATATGCTCGAGAGCCTTTTCAGAAACAGCCATCGCGATAACTAGAGTCGCGTAACAGAAGTAACCCTCGCCACAACTATGCACACACATGCACACGCATACAAATACAGTGTAACCAGGGGGTGGTAGTCGACGCGCGTGTTTATTCGTCTCTACGATCGTGCGCCGTGTAGGTAAATATACACAGAGGCCGCGGTTTTCGCTGTCAAAGAGGTCTATTTAGCGATCATCGTCGGAACCATCCTGTTTTTTTTTTTCAACCCCTAAATCCTACTAGCCCCTACACGGACGTTAACCACTCGTCGTGTTCCCTAGCACTCGGGTTCATTCGATTTCCTACGGAACTTTGCGTCGTTTTCGTAAAATATCGGTGTCCCGAGTCGATGGAACTATCCAACGATACACAGTGATGTCTTGTACAATGGAGATAATTGATCCACGGATACGGGAACATCACAAAGGCGTAAGATTTTTCCGTGCAATTGATTGATTGATAAAAGTAACAGTCGATCCTCGGAACGAAATGCACTTTCTTCTACGATATTTCTATAACAAGTCTGCTGAATCGTTTTTATTATACGCGATCCCAGATGCCCCGACACATTTTCCATCGTCACCCCTTTCCATGCGACACCAATTCCACGCAACGTACGTGTACGCCAGCGCGTTTTCTTCCGTTATTTTTTCCTTGTTCTACCAGAAATTGGAACGCAGGATTAATTATAAGCGAACGATAGTGATCGATAGGGTTGGCGATCGTGGACGGGAAGAAAAGCTACGGGCGGAAAATGTGTGTGCAGCAATGTAGTGTCGTCCGAGGGATAAATATCGTGGGGTCACGTGCATGGAACGGCAACCTCGCAAAGCCTCACCCCTTAGCTCCGAGTGTAGAAATATGAAGGGGGCCTCCGGAGGGTACGTTCAACCCTCCACGGTTTTAATTGCGAAGGGGAGACGACGACCTTTCTTCCCCTGGACCCCAAACGCGCGCTTCTTGCGCCCCCGAAGATGCATTTCGGTTGAACTGGGATTATTTACGAAGAAAAAATTTCAGCTTCGACCGACGTCGTTGGGTTTATCGAAACGGGGTGGAACGCGTGTGGGGTGTTCCAACCCTTGAACAGGATTGGAGGGTATCTTTGGAAACGTTCGAGGGATTTATTTGGACGGTGGAACACCGGCATTTTGTTTTATTCATTTTATTGCACGACAGTGCTATGATCTACGATTTTTTAAACTGATTCCTCGTGTCTGCTTCATTAGGAAACATAGATATGTCCCCAAATTGGTATATGCATTCAAGGGTTAAAAGAGGAAAAATATCGACAGAAATGCGATTACTTCGCGCTTACGATCTTGCGTAAACAAAAAACGATGTCTCGCGGAAGCATCGTTGCGTCGGACAAATCGTGACTGTGGCGAATTATTGAAGACCCGAGCAACGTTACGTAAAACATGTCATCGATTTTTCGCCGTCCGATTGTATCGTCGCGTTCCAACAGCGCATTCGAAGTGCACGGGGAAGAAAATTCAGGCGTGAATATGAAATTTCCTTTTACCCTGAGAATTATGGCGAGAGTGCCTCTCGCGAATATAAACGTTTCGTCGTGTCTGGCTGAGAGGCGACTGTGAAAAGTCATAAGACACGCTCTTTACTCTCGAAACTTTCTGAGAGCTCGGGGGTTGAGAGTGTTCTCCGGAAGACGTTGCTCTCCGCCTCTCGAACTTCCGGTCGCCTCCGCGGAGACAGTCTTCTCGTAATTACTCGCGACTCACCGGTGACTTTGACGCAACTGGGGCAATCAGATGCCCTGAATAATTTTCCGTCGCTGCTGCATGTTCCGTGTGGACAGCAGTTAATTCGACGTTAAGTGCCGCGCATAACAACGACGGACAGCAAAACGACGATCGTCACGAGAGAGAATACTTCCTGACAAAGTGAGTTCCTTAAGGAAAAAGAAAAAGAATTTAAAACTTCATTCACCTGACGGTATTCATCGGTATCTTCCGGTTAAACGAATCATCCAAAATTTCTGCAGTTATGGGTTAAAGTTTAGAATTTTATTTCCTGCCGGTCGAAATGTCGAATGTTGCGTGGACCTCGATACCCACCGATACAATCGACAACAACAGCTTCGCGTGTAATCCTCGGTTCCGTCGTCCACGTTCGACATTTGCCACGCCCCCGTTTATGGAAGTCACGCGCAAGGTTACACGTGAGATAGAAACCGGACAGAAAAATCACATCTCGAGGTTTCCGCGACCACCACAGAGGTGGGGGGGGGGGCGCAAATCGATCGGTGCACGTGTTCAAATCTAATCAGTCAAGGGTGACACACGCGTCCTAGAAACATACTCTTCTTACCCCTCCTCACCCCACACGATGTTCACAGATTTCACGTATTCACGAGGCTCGTAGCTCAATCTTCTTTCAAGTTCCCATGAAAATAAACGTCAATCATCTTCTCGAAATACCCATCGAATTGACAGGTGGCGTAGTCGTTGGCGAGACACATGTTCGAACCAAGTTGTTCCCCTCCCCCCAAGTCACGGTTATTTAGACGGGACTTTGGTTATGACAGAATATCCCCTGGATTCGTAGTCGGGTAATTAACTTCGATCGCGTCCCCAACTTCGGTTCTGGTCCGGCCGCGACACCGCTTCTCCACGAATTACGTAAATCGTCTCTCCCTTGGCTAGAATGTTGCCAAGTTCTCAACCATGACGGTGATGCGGTTATCTCTGGGAACTCCCTAACGACGTTCCTGGATAAAAGGGGAAGGATCGTTGACGTCTTATTCGGTGGCCTCCGAAAGACGTACACCGGATTCAACGTGACCGCCACCCACTTTCAGGTATAATATTGATCCGATATCTCCGTGCATGGGCGTCGCGGAGGAAGCGAAGACTGTCTTAACTGTTCGTCTCTTAAACGTCGGAAGAACGTCGGGAGCAACACGTGGGGCACCGTTTAACCGTATACCGTAAATCCACTTCGTCTAGACGGTAAATAATAAAGAAGCTTGAACGTCATTGCGACGAATCCCGTCAAGGTGGGAAACCATACCGTGGATAGAATTGTTTCTCGCCGCGTACGACACGTGACCGGGGAACGATGGAAAACATAATGTGTGTATATACGTATATACAACGCTATTCTAGTAACGGGGGAAGCCGTGTCGAAACGATTTCAGATTCCGCGGCGCACCGAACGGATGATCGCGTGTACCGAACACGTGGTGTTTGATCGGACGTAATCCTGTTGGGCGGAGCGAATTTTTCACCATCGTTCTCGACGGAATCTACGAAGCTGGAACGTTAACCGTTTAACAGGCGACAGAATATTGACGCACTTTTAAAACGAGTGTTGAACCGGTGCGACACTAGGCGTTAAAGGGTCAAAGAAGATACATACGGGAATAAAGATACGGTCGGAAAAGTCCATTAGACCGCGGTCCATCGATTCAATTAAAGCCGGTTTCTCCTGGAGGAAAATGGTCGAACATCAAAGGAACATTTCCGTTCGGATAAATGTGGACTCGGCGTTGATTGGAGGTAAAAGCGTCCACTTCCGTCGATCCCTCCCCTCTCGGTCGGCCGAATTAGAGGCCGTCCCCCGCGACTCTTCTAGGCTCTGGAGTCCCGGGAATTCAATTAGAAACCGGTGAATCTTCGATAAGCTGATGAAAAACGCGGTTACGGAGGGTACAGGCCGGTCACCCCTAGCGGATATCGATCGGACGAATATATGTATACGCGGCACACGGCTCTAACTCGCGCTCGGTTTTACCCACCCTCGAACGGGCTTTACGGGGCCGTGTGTACACCTGACGGAGTGTCGCTCTGTGAACCGGTCAAGACACGTGGAAACTCCATCGCGGCTGTTAACGGCCGCACGCATCAATGAGGACCGTTACGTTAAAAATAGGTAACCGCGCCTACTTTACGACCGTTTCTCTACGTTACGCGACGATGAAGCGCAATTAACATCGGGGGAGCTATTTATCCGTCCTGGAAAATGAAAATAAACGGTCTAATAATAATACGAACAGGTGTTTCGTAACCCTTGCACGAATATTACTTGTATTGGTTTTGTATCATCGAAAATTCAATTGACGACCGATTTCTATTGTAGTAGTGTACCATCGACTCTTCCATCGTTTTCACAGATAATCCCTCGCATGTACAAAAGGAATTCTATTCTCGTGGCAAGTGTAACGTTTACTTTAAGTCTTAATTGTTAATAATCAGCGAAATAGTATTTCACTTCGACTCGATGTTACAAGGCAAGTAGTTAACGGTTCTCCGAACGTCAGGTCCATGCTGAATAATTAAAAAAATAAGTAATTCCGTTCTATAATTGCAGCTCGTTGAATTGGCGTCACCTGCTTGTTACATATGTTTCGATTCGCGTCAGTTTCCCCGATTAAACCTCCCGTTCCCACCTGAAGTACCCAGCTCTACGCCCAACCGCAGTGTTTCTTTGCCGCCTCTATCGCCTCGAAGTGTCGACGGCCCTAGATATTCCTGGACGTGACGGATCAGGGTGCGTTCAGCCGTGCGAACGCTCTCTTCACCGTCTAATGCCGCGTGAATAATCGTTCGTTAACGAGAGAAAGAGAGAAACAGAGAGAAAGAGAGGACGCGTGCACACGCTGGTGCAACAACCATCGGAGACGATAACTAAATTCCTGGCAGGCGAGAAAAACGATATATCGGGTGCATCGATCCTACCCGGGTCATCGGGGAGGGACATCGCTATTAATGCACCGGCGCGTGCAAGAAGAAATCGTCTCTGTTCCCAGTCTAGGCACACTCGGAACCCACCACAGCGGGGAAAAGGATCGCCTGTGATCGAGCACCGTGGCGTTTTTAATTATCGCGAAACCTTCGTTGTAATTGGGGAGAACGATTCAGGGAACCAGAGGCAAGATCGTTCAAAGAGCCAAAGGCTTCCTCTGATTTAGCTGCGAAACGGTTCAACCCTTTGTAGATTAAAATCGATTCGCAGGCAGTTGGACAATTTTCTTAGGTACTTCAAGAGTTTTGGCAGTATCAAACTACTTGGTAGTACTTCTAGTCGTTAATAAAGTTGATCCGTATAGAACAGAGTCTTTACCGATCGGTTAAAGGAACGAAGTTTCATTGGATCTTAGAAACTTGAAGAAAGTGTTCTATTCAATCGATGTACCAACTAACCGAATGGAAATTACGTGTACACGCGAGATAAGTGGCTGAAATGCACCAATGGATGCACTAATAGGACCAGCACCGCCGGGTCCTTTGTGTCCACGTTAAAGCCGCCAGGCTATAGCATTCATGTATCTGGCCCGTATACTCGACGAGCCAATGCACTTCGCCTTTGGGCTTCCGTGGCTAGATCGACCTGTGTCCTAATTCGTTAATGACTCGAAGGACTAGGTTTCTAGAGCAAGGCGACCGAGGTCGCCGACAGAGGACAGGTGTCAGAAGCGTTGCTTCGAATGGCACCTTGGGCGCGAGAGACAGGAAACCTGCGAGGATCTCTCGGACCTTCGACGCGACGTTTCCATTCGGAGAGAGCTGTCTGTCGATTATTTCGCGTGATTTCAATGTGTGCCGAAGAACGACGCGCCGCTTTGTCGAGACTGTGAACGGAAACGAGTACAAAATACAGAGTCGGACAGAGATAGAAATTTCTCGGTTCTCTACGGTAAACGTGTTCGATCGCTCGTTGAAAGGACTTTGGGGAAAAGCCGATATATTATTTGCGAGGGGATGGGGGGTTGCAATGAAAGGAAGACCCGTCGCGATCGATGTATACGCGACCGTGGTAAGCGCGCGACCATGCCGATTCCAATTTCGCGAGTGTGGCACGTAACGCGATACCACACGCGTGAATCATCCCTGTTTGGCTCGTCGAAGAGTATCGTCTGCGTGCTGTTAGACAAGAAGAAGCACTTCGATTCACCTGAATGCATTTAGGGCTGGCTGGATCGAGTATACGTTCTCCCTCGTTTCGAATGCATCGAATGTCCATACGAGTCATTCCTTGCTGGAAGGAATTCGAAATTAATGTCGATGGAGGTGATTAGGTGGTGTAGGATTTGAATAGGTTTCGTGAATCATGGCTGGTTAAGTGTAATGTAAAGTGAAATGTATTTAACCAAGTATAAAATAACTATAACTGTGCTTTGAATTACGATTGTTGACACTAGGGTTGTTCCACACTGTTCTACGTTCTTCGACCCTCGAATCAAGATTGGATTCCTTCCATTCAGGTTACAAATCTCCCCGTACCCTTAATAACTGAACCCCGGACCAAAGCCTACATATATCTATAACAAATAAGTCCTTCCGCACTCCTACAGTAGTTGGACTCTTGGTCCATGCACCCAACAGGTATCTTAAATATTCCCAATGTCTGTCGCAGGACGTCGCGTTCATGAATCCCGCCAACGTTGTGTTCGTCTACATGCTGGTGAGAGAGCTCGTCGACGGAGACGAGGCCTCCGAGAGGGAGCTCCAGGCGACTGTGTTGACGTGCCTGTACCTGAGCTACAGCTACATGGGGAACGAGATCAGCTACCCGTTGAAACCATTCCTGGTCGAGGACAGCAAAGATAAATTCTGGGACAGATGCCTGCTGATCGTGAACCGACTGAGCGCCGAGATGTTGCGGATCAACAGTGAGCCCGGTTTCTTCACCGAGATTTTCACCGAGCTGAAGGTACTGGTAAACGTTTCGTTTATTCGTTACAACCATTTACGAAATATAATGATTTTCCCATTAAAACCAAGAGATGAAATAAATAACATCCCGACGAAATCCGACTAGGCTTGCGGTACCGGTATTCGAAGCAGTCTGCCTGACAGCGGCCTCGAGCGGAGCCTCGTCGTCTCCGGAGTCGCGGTACCCACCAAGGCGGCTTGACGGAGCTACACACACCTACTGGTGCGCATCGCCAGTCACGGCTGCGACGTCACGACACTCTGACGACGGCCGTCGCGACGAGGAGGAGCTGCCCTCGCAGCTTGACCCTACCGCATCGACCTCGACCTCGACGACGTTGCATCGACAGTCGCATCAGCAGCAACAACAGTCGCAGCAACAGCAGCAGCAGCAACAGCAGCCGCATCATCATCATCGTCATCATCGATCTAGCCGCGACGACGGGGAGCCGTGCGGACGATGCCCGTCGTGCGGGCAAAAACGTCGAACGGAGGAGATCTATCTGACGATCGAGGATCTGGACGCGATCGAACCCGCCCCATTGGAGTCCCAGAGAACACCGACACAGCGAACATGCAGCTGCGACACGGTCGGCGCTCCTCCTCCTCCTGTTGCCGTCGAGAGGGAACGCGGGGATCTCCGAAAGTATCGAAGCACCGACTCCAGGTGGGCCGAAGGTGGTTTTCTCTCGCCGGACGACGCGATCTGGGACCTGAAGAAACGCACCACGGCGGAGACCGAGTTCCGTTGGGAGTTGCACACGTCGAACACCGATCTGGATCTCGCGAAAAAAACGAAATGCAGCTATCACAGTCTGACACCGGACGACAAGAAACCGCACGAGGTCCAGCGGGGCGATCTGAGGAAGCATCACAGCGCGGAAACGGACAAATGGTCGGTGAAGCCGGATTATCTGCAGACCCCGATGCACGATCTACGGAAGCACAGCAGCGACGACACCAGAATGGCCAGAGAGGCGAGGTTTCTTCAGGTGCCGGAAGTGCTTCCGAATCCGAAGCCAAGGTGCACCTGTCCAAAATCGAAGACTCTGTCGCCGTCGCCGCCCGCGGAACCGAAAGAGCAAAAAGAACCGGAAAAACCACCCCCCTCGCCGGCTGCTCCTCTTGCTCCCGTGATCCAAGAACCGCCGAGGAAGTTATACTACTCAGCTTCTCTGAACGTCGAACGTCCGGAGGAACCGGCAGCCCCGGTTGCCACGGAGAAGCCAGAATTGAAGAAGCACGCCAGCGAAGACACCAGACTGGTGAAAGCCGAGAGGATCCGGGAGAGACCGAAGCTGGAACGATCGAACGCCCGTGTGGACAGTCAGACGTCGAAGAAATGGGGCGCGAAAGAGAAGGTGGTCACCAGCCCGGTGGACGAGGCGAAGAAACCACGGCCAAAGTGGGCGATGAAGCCGCACTTCTCGTTGCCGGTCGAGGACAAAAAGTCCCGATGGAGAAGCCAGGACTCAGCGAAAGGTTTCAAGGCGAAGAGCCTGAAGGACCGACCGAAGTACAGCGTACGAAGAAGCCTGTCACCCGAGCCGGATCCGCGTCAGATCACCAAACTGGAGAACCGTATCGTTCGTCGATTGATATCCCCCGAGATCACGATCATGGACGCGAAATGGGCACCGTACGAGAACGATTCCCCTCTGCCGACGATAGGCGTGCGTAAACGCGAACCGAAGCACATCAGCGAGATCAAATGGACGCCGTACGACGACAGTTCGCCGACAGATGGCGGTGGCGTTGGTGGCGGTAGCTTCGCGGTACAGGAGCCGGAGGAATCGAAAGACTGGTCACCGTTCCACAACGTGACGCCAACCCATCATCCACCGCCGGAAGCGACACCCTGTAGAAGAGACGTCGACGACGACGAGTTCCGTTGGCGTATCCTGAACCAGGTGTCCGCGTTCCCAATATATCAAGGTGGGTGGAAGGATCAATCGCCGGAGAGAACACCGCCGCGTGTCCAGTCACCAGCAGATCTGTCCCCTCCTATTTGGTCGCCTCTGGTTCCAGCTTCGCCGGTGAAACGGCAGAGGTCCCAGCAGTCCCAGCAACCACCGCCGCCGCAGCCGCAGCCGGTGCACAGGAAGAGCATCGCGAATCTTCGTGGACTGTCGAAGAAGAAGGCGTTCAGGGCCAGATCGGAGAGCGGTCAGCATCCAATGGAACACGACAGACTGGTGCCGCCTACTGTGATCGTACGGGCGGCCAGCGAGGAACCGAAAAGCCGTCAACGGCCGCAACTTACCAGATCGAAGGCGTTACTCGAGGTCCCGGTCGCGCACGGGATCACCAAGAGATCGTTGAGCGAGGAGGTGCCACGTGCTCGGGCCCGCGAACGGCCGCGTGCCCCGAATCGGGCGAGAAGCGAGGAGGCGCCCAAATACGACGATCCGTGGTTCGCGAACGACAGCCTGAACGGCGGGGGCACCGAACTGCGGGAGTACGTGACGACGGTTTAGATATTATATACATACGATACTATATACTTACATGGGGGTTCTGATACATTGACGGTACTCGAAATCGAGAGCGATTAAAGAACAAAATGAGGTATTTTATAATTAGTTTCCGACCGGCACCACGGAGGGCCGGGGCCGTATCTATTGTATTAGTTAGCTCGCTTTAGATCTTTTCTACCGAAGCAGTAGAACCCGGGCCAGGTGTGTGTGTTTTACATTAGTGGGATTAACTTTTGCCGCGATACCCACACGCCGCCGACGATTATTTTCGGGTCTGTCTTGAGACAGAATTCCTCGCTTTTCGAAATTCCGCCGCGCGCGAGAGAGTACAGGGGTGAGGAGGAACAGGGTCGTGGAGCAGACGGCCCGTGATTCTTGGGAACGAACCGAAACGGGTGAGACGAGGGGAACGTGGATCGAACAACCATGGGGCCATCACCATCGAGCCTGGCGCTGAGTTTTCACATCGTGTCGAAGAGGAAAGTACCAGCGAGGATCTCATCATCCCATGAACGAGCTTCGTTGGTCTACGAAGACTACGAAATATTTTCGAACTAAGTTTCGAACACCAGAGAACAAACGGGTTCAACTCTTTCGACGCGTTCTCCGTCCCGCGGCGATGAAGGGATGAACCAGTTCGTTCGCGTCAAGGGTGTTTTTGAATCGATTTACGATAGCCGATAACGTACCGTGAACATGTAATATTCGATTTAAAAAGGTACACCGAGTTTAACGATAATAATACGAGCTTAGTTGTTAAGAGTAGCTGATATGAAAAAAAGAGGAAAAAAAAACGAAATATCGGAATAGATAAAAGAAAGGTGATGGAACTCTGTACGATTCGCGGTGTTGCCGACTGGGTAATTAGCTGCAGATCGGGCAGATGCACGAACAGTGGAAGAGAAAGGAAAGATCGCGATTCGAGCGTGTGTACCGTGAAAGAAATTTCGAAGGGAATCGGTTCGCGTTACAAAGGATTGTTGGGGGTTGGGAGGGGGGCGACAAAGTGCATAGCAAAAAGAGAGGCGGACACCTTTGTTACGATTCCTTTCTGTTTCATCGGTGGAACGATTATTCGCGGTGAACGATCCGCGATTGACAGAATTCACGCGTAAATTAAGTTGATTTGTGATTATATAGGGGGATCGCTGTACGATGGCGGAAGCGGCTCAGCTGAAACGTCGATTCGGCGGTCCTCGTGTGCCGGCGCGTGCAATATTAATTAGGATTATACATTAATAGTCGATCGATATAGCCAGTTAAGGACGGGGTACTAAATGGTCGGGCGAAAGAACGCGGAACTATCCAACGTGGAATTGGACGGCTGCGTTGTTAAGCTGCGTATCCACTTATTGCGTATCCTTGTATCGTATCACCGTTGTGTACGAACGTGGACGGTCAAACGTTGCATCGTTGCGTATGAATACGATACGAGGATACGCAACAAATGGATACGCACATTTACTCTTACACCGACATCGTAAAAAAAGAAAAGAAACAGCAGCTTCAAGCTTAGCGACTTTTCAATTGGTCCGTGTTTCTTGGTTAAGTTTGCTAGCCCGCGATACTCCGATAAGTTTCCATACGCGTAAACGACGATACTTTATATATAATATATTTATTCGTCGGATTTTCGAGTACTGTATACCGTGCATACATAATATACATAAAGAAGAAACACACACATTCATATGCTCTCTGTACACGTGTGCTCCCCAGGGCCGGTCTCTTGCCGGCCACGATCAAACGCGAATATTATACATACTCGTACGTTTTTCGATTTTTGATATTATTCCCCGGGGTTGATTCGGACGATTCCTCCTGGACGGGATCGAAGCCACGAAACGGAATGATCTATTTTGTATTTCGACACCATTCATCGACCGTCGCGTCAGACATCGTGCCACACCATCGATTATTTCAGTGCTTCGAACGTGTATCATGATTTGCGCATTAACACACACACACACACACACACACACACACACATACACGCAGAAACATACAGTCGAGCAACATTAGACACATACATACGACAACATCTTCTTCCCCCCGAAACCACGCACGTCACTTTGGCGAAAGAACGAGAAAGTAAATTCCGAACACGATTGACACTCGAGAGTTCCCATCGCCGCAGATTTTGTACATATTTTTAATAATACAAACGGGTAACGATAGGCTGTAATTTCGAAAATTCCGTGGCGGATCGTCGATCTCGAAGCACACCCGGTTCTCCTCCAGTCGAACGCCCGTAAATCCCCGTGATTCGAGTGTTGCCAAAAAAAAAAAAAAAAATGAGGGAAAGAAGAGAAGAATAAAAAGGAACGGTGGAGAGGGGGTTTTCTTGAACAAGGACGAAGGAGAGAAAAGTTTTTCACGGAAACTCCCGGATACCCAGTGTTCTCTGTTCGTTCGCAACGTTCGCGGTTTCCTGTTGTCTCACCTTCAGACAAGCTCATACTCCCGGTGCTGGGGGGAACGCGAAATTAGACGTCGTGGTCACTTGAAACTGAATAAACGAACCAAAAATATATAAAAAAAAAAGAAGAAGACGCTAAAAGAAAGGAATTCATTCGAATGCGACCACGCGAATAAAAGGCGTGCATTATCTTCTTCGATCGACCGAAGACGACTTCGTTTTCCGGAATTTTATTCGCGCGGCTCGCCACGCTTTCGTTAACGAAGACAGAGCAAAAACGAAGAAAAATTACAAAAAAAAAAAAAAAAAAAAAGGGAAAAAAAAAAAAAAAAAAAAAGGGAAAAAAAAAAAAAAAAAAAAATGGAATAAAATAAAAAGAAGAAACTGCAAGAGAAAACTCAACAGAGATAGACATTATTTTCTAAAGAAGAATCGTAAGAGAGTGCGAGCGAGAGAGAGGGAGAGAAAGGAAAACCGAATCGAGAGTGTGAGAATGGTATAGTATTTAGGAAGCAAAATTAAACGATTGTGGGGTGGGGGAGAGTGGGGAGGGGGGCGTGAAATGTCGACGACGAGCTTGTGGTAGGAATCGCGCTCAGTTGAACAAGAACTATGAGAGAACGAAGAATGAGACAAAGAACCGGAGTGAAAAAGAGCCAGGTGATACATGATGTACCACCGTTCTTCTTTCTCCGGTGTTGTTCCGCCGTGACCTCGTGCTCGCGAATCTTTTCTACGATGTGCGTGTGTTTTGAAACGAGAACGAAGAAACGACAAAATTTTCACCGAAAAGAGGAGGTAATAATGAAGGAACGGAACGGACTGTGAAATTGAATTATATCGGAGAAAAAGGAAAATATTACCGTGCGTGCGCGCGCGCGCGCCTGATTTTACCGTTGCATAGCGTACGAGAAATTCTCGCGTTTAGGTATATTTGTAAGTATGTACCGTGTTAAGGGAGGGTGGGGCGGGGGAGCAAGCAAGCAGGCAAACTGCATGTTAATATACTGCGCCATTAGTTGCATTCCGATCGACAAATGTGTATTTAATTAGTTGGCGATTCTATCACGTGGCTAGCAAAGTCTGCATTTCTTTTCCGTATCGGCTGCTCCAAGTAGCTCTGCGTTTGATCTCGAGAAAAGGAAACGAGGGCGCGCGTGACCGTATCTTCTTCGTTCGAATTTTAGGGTTAATTCTAGCGTAAATTGTTCTCTAGCGAGTATAGTAGCGCTTCGAACGTAACGATTTACTTCCCCTTCCTTCCTCGCCCTTCCCTCCAACCCTCGAAGGCTCCAAAACTTTCTAGCGAATTTGCACACTCGTCCTGATTCACTGTACACGCGGGTACAGACATACAAACACACACGCGGCGAACATACATTACCACACGTGTAACACGCATGTATCGAGATCTCTCTTTGAAATCGACTTCGATCATTTTAGACGTAGAGAAGCTCTCTCTTGTTTCCATCGAATTACTTTGTACTCTCGTCGCTACTTAAGGACGTTAATGTTATAACGATAGTAGTCGATTATATTACCAAGAATACTTACGATAATTCGCGAGTAATTATACCGAGAAAAGGCTGTTGTTGCATTTATTGTTTATAGTTCGAACGCTATAGCTGCACAGGATACTTGTATAGCAATTGCCGATCCTTTGTCGCTCATGATTTCTCGAGATCAGACGCGTGTACGCGTCGAAGGGGACACGCGAAACGCGCTTGTCTCTCGGGTCCAGATCGGGGCTGTTCGTCGACTTGGAATCGTGGTTTCTTTGCAAAAAGTCGATTATGGTCAATGGAACATCAATGGATTGGGGGGAAAACCTACGTAATCTGGTGTAGCAAAGCTCTGGCGAGGTTAGGCACACGCACCCGCGTTAATTTTCCTTCGACCATAGGTGGTTATGCGTATAAAGACTGGATAATCTGTGAACTCGAGTGCTCGCGATGAACAGCTCGATTCTAGACGGATCGTACGATCGAGAAAGAACAGAAACGTGATCAGGAAGAGATCGAAGGCGACAGCACTTACATTTAAAAAGAACGTATTATATTCCTTCGTAGTGCATACGATAAATTAATTCCGGCGCGTGATTGCGTACTGTATAAAGTAACGTACATAGCGTAACGTAAATTAATTGTGTAACTCCCACCATACGTATGCGCGCGACCGGTTCTCGACTGTTCCCGCCGTGCACGGGGGGAAAGCCGTTGGACCCCCGCGTTTTAATATGGAAAACCGAGAGACAGAGAGAGAGAGAGGAGACACAAAAAGAGATGTGATTCGCAAAAAACGCGTTATTTCTATAAGAGGAAAGACTCAGGGGCTCGTCGGGACGCTGTAAAGAAGGGAAGCAGGCAAAAATGGGGAAAAATACATTGTATCTGTGCTGCCATTAGCGTTAAAAACGAGAAGAGCAAAAAGGGAAAACAGATTTACGAACACAGAGACGAAGCCAAAGTATAATATATGTAGTTAATGACAAAAAAAAAAAACACGCGTCACTCGAAACATGAACCGTTCACGAATCGTATACGCAGGAGACACGATGAGGACAGAACAGAGGAACATAAAATATACATATATACACGT